AAGTCTTCTCTCTAAGTCCTGGGGGTTGGTGCTGTTGGTGAAGTCGCTCTGTTTGATGCTATTGCTCTTGCGTCCTCGAGCCATTTTGCTGTCGTCCCAAATGCAACTCTTCGCAAAAAAGAAAAAGGGCCATGCACATCACGTGTGTCACTGCAACCCCACACACCAAACCGGGCATTCAACTGGACTGCTTTGTGGCTGGAAACCAACCAAGGCTGCGCAACGTAAGTGACACTCCAGAGGAATCCTAGCCCAGGGATACAGAGCTCTGGGAAGAACATGTACTGAGGCTTTTCACTTGGGATTTTCTGCAATACTGAAAGGCACCAACCCCAATTATTTCACAGACAAGTTTTAATGGTTTAACTCCAAAGTAAGATACAAATAAAACTCATTTTCCATTAACACACCTTGACTTTAAGCTTTTAGGAACACCCATTTCTTCAGTCCACTGGTGACCAGAGTTGAAGTCTATGCAGTATTTTAACACGCAGAAAGGAAACACTCATCACAACATTGCATAACCCAAAGATTTCAATACAGGCTTTGAGCGAGATACCAGGAAGCACTGCCCAAATGCTCCAAGGGACCACACCTGGATTGCTTCACTGCATGTGGAATCTTGGCTTTCAGTGCCAAAATGCAGTTTCTCATTCAGCCCCTGGTGAACAGCACGTCCTCGGCCCCCTCCAGGTGTGGGCTCCCACAGAAGGCGGGTCCACATGGGAATTTGGGGACCCCCATGGAAGCGCCATGCCCCTTTCCCACCACCCCAGCACCACAGCCCACTGTGGACCCCACCGCCACAGAGCAGGCACTGCACAAACTCACGCAGAGCTCCACAGCAAAACCACCCCGGCAAACAGAACCCACCACAACCCCCACCACAGCAACCAACCCCCAACCCCCACCCAGACCCACTGCCTAGCTTAAGAGTCACCATTACATAAAGCTTAAAAAAACCCAGAAACACTGAAACTTTCAAGATTAACTTGAAAGACTGAATGCTATTTAATGAAGTTCCCATACTTCCTAAACGTCCATCTACAGGAAGGCAAGATGGGATTTCCATTTACAACATGCAAGAAACCTGGGAAAAAAGCTGAACTCGAGTGTATCAACAGGAGCTACTCCCGGTAACCAGCCAACACCTAACCCACATTTGTTACAATTTACAACTAGTCTCTAAATAAACAAGTCAAAGGCCTAAAAATATAAACAGCTTTAGGTAAATACTTTGCAAGAGTTTCCCACGTGAAGAAACCAGGGAGCTACTTTCCCACTTGCAGGTCACTTTCAAACCAAAGCAATAACTCAGCTGGATAGGTTGAATTACTGAAGAACTTCCATACAAGAGCATTTACTGCCTCCTACCATTTTCCACTTGCCAAATTGCATAGTTAGGAGCCATTTAGCAACCAGAAGACCGGAACAACTGACTGTTGTCCAAGCTTCGGGCACACTGAACCAGGTGAACCGATTTCCACATTAAGCCTTTCCTATGAATGCAGCCAGAGGCCAACTCTGAGCCGAGGTGGTTTCAAGGTGCCAATCCCCTGTGCAGAAACCCACGGCCAGGTTTGTACACGCGGCCACCCCAAGCCAGCTCGGGTGCAGTAAGCCCTCGGGAAGTGAACCAAAGCCACGTTTCCCTAAAAAACTTATATTTAAACCCAAAGTCATTTATTAACAGCATTACAGCTTCAGAAAGCGAGACACAACGGATGTAACTAACACAACGGAAGGGGACACACAGGCCCGCAGGAGGTTACCGGGCAAGGCAGCAGCAGTGACTGCAGCCGCCACCGACATGAACGGGGCGAGGAGCGGCGTCCTGCCCGGCGCCGGCAGCCCCGAAGCCAGGCCCGGCCCGGAAGGCCGCTGTCGGCGGCCCTCCCTCGCCCTCGCTCGCACCGGGACCCCGCACCGGGACCGCAAGCGAGGGTAGAGGTACCCGTGCGGAAAGCGGTAGCAGGGGGAGCGCCAGCCAGGCCCTGCCGAACGCCCCACCGGCGGCCGCGGGCCGAGCTCGCCACCAGAGTTACGAGGAATCCACCTGCGGCAACCACCGGCCCGGCAGCACGCGCTTTTGAGCCCCGTTACCCCTGCGCCACCGACCCGCCCCGGGGCAGCTCCCAGCGAACCCGCGCTCCCGCTCCTCAGGAGCGGCGAGGCGTACGCGCGGCCGGCCCGCAGGCCGCAGGGCACGCCCGGCCAGGCCCGGGCCAGCCCCGCCTGGCAGCCGAGAGGGACCCGGCCCCCCGGGAGGGCTCACCGAGCGCGCCGCAGCCGCGGGGCCGCCGCAGTACTCACCGCCGCGCCGGGCACCGCCACCACCACCACCGCCGCCGCCGCCAGGACAAAGGCGCCAACCGCCGCTGCCGTACAGCGCCGTCGCGACTACGATGCTCCACGCTTTACGACGCAAGGCGCTGACGTGCCACCCGCTGCCATGCCTGCCGCGGCGAGGGCCCGGCGCGCGGGGCTGCACGTCCCGCCTGGCTCCCGGCATGCCCCGCGAGGCGCCGCCGCACGGCACGCTGGGACTCGTAGTTCGCGGAGGGCGAGGCGCGAGGCCGCTGGGTGGCGCAATCAGATCTCGCGCGGGGCGAGGCGGGACCGGGACCGGGACCGGGACCGGCCCCGCCGCTACCGCCGCAGCCGCGGCCCGGTGCCTGCTTCCCTGCCGGGCAGCTCCTGCCGGGCAGCTCCTGCCGGGCTCCGCCGCTCGTCCTGCGCGCGGCCGGTGCCCGGGGCTGCGGGACTTCCCCTGCCGGCCCCGCGGGAGCCAGGCACAAAAATCCCCCCCGGCTTCGCCTCCAGGGCTCTGCCCTCGGCGCTCCCCCGGGACCCATCGTGCTCTCGAGTGACTCAGTTCTGGGAAGTGACGGCGGGATGGGGAAACCGCCGCTCCCGCCCGCCAGCACCAGGGCAGGGGGCACCGGCGGAGGCCGCACGTGGCACGCAGCCCCCAGGCCAGGGCTGAGGCAGCGGCTGTGGTCACTGCGGTGCTGTCACGGTGCAGCACAGGGGGGACAGGGCACGGGGAGGTGCGGAGGAACCGCCGGTCCCTGCCAGGCCATGGCGAGAAAGGGTTCCGGGAAAGCCTCTCTAACAGGAGGGGAGCCTGGAACTTCCCAGGGACCACACGGGGGGACTCCTGATGGAGCTGAGGCAGGGGCGGGCTGGCGGTCCCCAGCACAGCCGGGCCTGCGGCACTTTGGCCCGTTCCCGTTTAGGGCTGGTACATTTACGGGAACTGGTTTGGAGGCCAGAGCCTGCGGGCAGCCGTGAGGGGCTCTCCAGGGCCACAGCGCGGGGTTACCGCTGGGAAGGTGAAGTGAAACCTTGAACTTGTCTCAGTTCTGTCTCTGGTGGAACCAGAACATGCACTTCCCTCACCAAGGCCCACAGCCAACTCCTGCCTCTGCGGGCACCTCCTTTTATTGGGAGACGCCGGCAGGGTAGCGGCTCCGTGGGGCTGGCAGGAGCCCCTCTCCCACCTCCAGCCTTAGCAGGACATTCCCGTGCAGCCGCTGCCCAGGGACCCCCAGCCTCAGCGGCTCTGCCGAGGGACCGGACAGGTCCCGGGTCCCGGTAGGGATGGCTGCTACCCCGGCGGGGATAGGGCCGGGGTGCGGGAGAGCCGGCGGGGAGCTGTCGTCCCCCCACCCCCCGGCCGTGCGGCGCAGGGGCTGCCCGGGCCCGAGAGCCGGTCGGGGCTTCCCCGAGGGCGGCCCAACGCCGTTTCCTGGGCGGGAACGGGACAAGGCGTTATAGGGCGGGCGGTCGGTCGGACGCGGGGTGCGACATCATGCAGCGGCTGGGGCTATTGGGGCTGCTCGGCGCTGCGCTGCTGGGGGTGAGTGGGGCCGGGGCACGGGCATGGGCTGGGGTAGTGGCAGCGGCCTTTCCCCCTTCCCTCGGGCCGAGCCCCGGCCCGCAGCCGCCCGGCTTTCCGGGAAGGGGCAGGGTCCGGCCCTTCACCTCCGCGCGGCCCACCCCGGAGGGAGGCCCACGGCTGGGGCCGTGCCCGCGGCGGCAGAGCGGGAGGTGGCACCGGCAGCGCTGCCGCCCGAGCCGAGCCGGCCGGGTCCGACCCGCTTGAACTCCTCACCGGCGCCGGGCTCGTCAAGGCGGCTCCCGTCGGGCCCAGTTCGGCTTCGCCTTCCTCCGAGGAGCGGGGCCCGGCCGGGGCAGGGAGGAGGGACCTGCGGGCACGGACCGACAGCGTCGGGCTCCAGAGCACCGCCGGGCCCTGAGAGGCTGCGGGGCGCAGGGAGGGGGCCGCCTGAGCCCCTTCCACTTCCCTTTCTGCTCACTGTCACCGTGCGGGGCGGCAGCGCCGGCTCCCCTCTGCCAGCTCGGGCGTACCCCGAGGCGCCCCGTGGGGTCTCAGCACCCCTCATGCCCACAGCCCCGCAGTCATCTCGCTTGAGGGATTTGCTGGAGACCCCGTCCTGCTCCCTGGGGTGGCTGGGCTCAGGGGTAGCGTGGGGCTTGCTCTGTGCGGTGGTCCGATGCTGTGGGTGCCCTGCACCCGTACTGGCCCGAGGTCCCATTACCTGCCTGCTCTCCATTCTTCCCGGTGCGCACACACCCCTGGTAGTAGGCGCATGGAAGTCCGTTGTACGTGCCCTGGGGCTTTTCCTGCCCCGCAGGCGGATGCACCAGCCTTGGGAAAGGGCTGGCAGCTCTCTGGGCACGGGAGGCTCTGTTAACACCGCTGCTGCTGTGCAGGACCCTGTTGACAGTGGCACAGGGCAATGTGCAATCATCATCTGATAGGAAATCTGGGGAATCGCTGCCACCCCACTTCAAAGAGCACTGGTGGCATGAGGCAGCGCCGGTGGCTCTGCTGCGGTCTGTGGTTAGCACAGGCAGGGCAGGAGCAGTGCAGAGAAGCCCTCGCCTCGGGATGTGAGCTAGCTCCCATGTGCTTGCAGAAGCAAGGAGGTGCTGAAGCACTGAGGAGCACCCTGAATTCCAGGTCTTGTTTCTTCCAGTGCTGGAAGCCTGGTGATGCTGTCAGATGCTTTGATAAGCAGTATGAATACAGAGGCAGGTGCTGCAACCGGTGTCATCCAGGTACGGAGACCCCTTCCCCTTCCTGTACCCCAGGGCCTGACTGTACCAGGACCCACAGCTGGACCACAGTAGAGCACAGCTCAGCATGACTGAGCTCCTCCACCCCACGGGCAGCTTCACCTCTGTGTCACTCCAGTGCTAGAGCAACTAGGAGCCTCACGGGTGCTCTGGGAGACCCCCTGGACTTCCCCGAATCTGCCACAACTCTCTTGGGACTGTCTGTGCTCCTGCAGCTGCAGGACCCCAGGGCACAGGCAGCTTGCAGGGAGACTGCTGCCACTGCCAAATTGTGATGTTATTTTCAGCTCCTGCTTTTACTGCAGATCATTTCCCAGCCCCTAAAGGCAGTAAATGCCCCCGCACCCCGTGCTCTCCTGCCCCAGCACCAATCACCCCTCTGCAGTGGGGAGCTGGTCCCTGCAGCCCTGGCTGCCAGAGCAGCATCAGCACTCACCGTTGCCAGTGCTCCCATCTCCCACTAGCAGAGCTACTGCCTGGGGAGGGGGAAGCCCCCTTGCGCCTCCTCACACCCTTCTCACTTCCTCTATTGCAGGGGAAAAGCTGGTCTCTGAATGCAGTGACACAGAGGACTCTATCTGCACCCCCTGTGAGAGTGGCCACTACCAGCGGAGCTGGACCAAGGAGAAGCATTGTGCCCCCCATGATATCTGTGAAGACAGTAAGTGCTGCCCATGCCCACCGGCCCCACTATCCCCCCAGGCTCACCCACCCGTGCCTCACCTCACCTCGCCCCTGCTCCCTTTGCCCAGACACTGGCCTCATCGTGAAGACGCATGGCAACGCAACGCACAACACGGTGTGCCAGTGCCGGGCCGGCACGCACTGCTCTGACACCAGCTGCCAGACCTGCGTGGAGAACCAGCCCTGCCAGCGTGGCTTCGGCTTTGTGGCGGGTGAGTCCGACCAGCTCATCCCTCTCAGCAGCCCCAGCAGCGCTGACCTCAGGTCCTCCAGGGGAAGGGGGGCTCCCTCAGCGAGGTGCCCCTCGCAGGGCTCCAGCAGCACTTTGCCTGCTGCTGTGCCTGGCAGCATTGCCACAGCCCCTCGCTCCCACTTCCCACGCTGACCTTCCTGCAACCTCTGCTCCTCCAGCCAAAGCCATGGCCCGGATGACATCCCCCTGTGAGCCCTGTGCAGAAGGCACCTTCTCCAATGTCTCTTCCAAAACAGAGCCATGCCATCCCTGGACAAGGTATTGTCTCAGTGCTGACCACATCGTCCACCTATCCCCAGCTGTTTGCTATCCCTCTGAGCACATCTTCTGCTGCCAGCCTCCTTAGTGGCCTTGGGGAGCAGATGGCTGGGCAGTCTGAGTGACACAGTGTCAGGCTGGCATAGGAGCAGAGCTATGAGTGTGGTGGGGCCCAGGGTGGCAGGCTGAGCTCGAGGCAGACATCCAGGAGCTTGTGACCATCTCTCTGCATGTGTGCAGAGTGCTCACCCCTTCAGGGATGTCCACCCTGTCATCTGCACTGGAGAGCAAGGGATGAGGGGTTTTGGGGATCCCCAGTGCCCTGTCCAGGCTCTCCCTTGCAGCACTCCTTGACTCATCAACTGGGGCACCAGCCCTGAGGACTTTGGCTTTGAGGATACCATGGGCTGGCAGGTCATCTATGTCTTCAGAAAGCTGCTTGAGGGTTAATTGCACTCATGGTAGAAACATTAGCCTTATTTCCAGGCTGAATTAGTCTTGCTTCAGCTGCCGGCCATTGGATTTCACTTTGCTTTTATCTGTGCCCAGAAATTACCTCCCCACAGAGACACTTATAGCCTGTCATCAAGTCCCTTCCTGGCTGTTCTGCAGGAGCCCTGGTGTCTGAGCCCTGCATCTCCCTGGACCGGGCAGGTCTCAGGTGTCTGCTTCTTCCTGTGCCTTGTCCCCAGACTTGTCCCTATCTTCAGCAGTTTCAACACCTCTAGACCAGGACCATGCTGTGGGGCCCTGCTGTGTACCTGGTCTCCCCATCACGCAGCACTGGCTCCTGGACACTCATCCCTCTGGAGCCTGGCAGGGTTGGTGCAGGTCATGCAGCAGCTCCTCCTGGTCAGGCTTCCCATGTGCCCAGGCTGCTGTGGTTACACGGTCTTGTTCTTCCTACAGCTGTGAGGAAAAAGGGCTGATGGTGAAGGTGAAAGGGACCAACGCCTCAGATGTGATCTGTGGTAAGTGCCCAGTGCCAGGCTGATGCAGAGCAGAGATCTGGTGCTCCTACAGCAATGGGAGGAGCTGGCCTGGCTCGTGAGTGTTTTGGAGAGAGCAGGGTCTGACTGTGGTGCCAGCACAATCCTTCCGTCTCCTGTCTGTCCCCGTGAGGCATCCCTGCGGGACTGGCCCTGGAGAAAGGCAGCTCTGGGTACTTGGTGTCTTGGCGCTGCACGGTGCCTCACTGGCTGTCTCCTCACAGAGTCGGGCAGGCGGTCCTCACTCTCGGTGCTCATCCCCATTGCTGCCGTGGCTGTCCCATGCCTCGTGGTCATCTCCATCTACTACTACCTGGTGCACAGGGGTAAGGGGCTGCCTTGGCCAGTGTGACCTCATGGGGGTCAGGAGCCGAGAAGGGGGCATGGTGGCAGCTCTGCCAAAAGCGGGGCAGCTCCTCTGGGAACACTGCTGGGACACAGCTGCCCCAGCCCCATGCCCTACCGGGTCAGCATGGCAGGAATGCTCTGCCCTGACTGTCACCTTCTCTGTCCCTCTTTCCATCCAGATCCCAAGCAACAGATGCAGAAACAGGTGAGTCCAGAGCCACCCTCCAGCAGCGGGTTGGGGTCCCTTCTGGGCACAGCCAGAGGTGTGCCAGCAGCAGATCTGGGGCTGTGGCTCTGCAGTGCAAGGGGCACACGGGGGTGCTGCTGGCAAATACAGAGAAGGGGGACGCTCACAGGGTGAGGTTCTGCCCTGCATGGCAGCGGAGCAGGAACCTGTGGAAAGCCATGGGGGGTGAACCTGCCTATCCCTGGCTTCTGCCCCTGTGCAGGGAAAACCTGGGAAGCCTGAGGAGAACCTGGAGACACATCAGCCCACTGAGGAGTGGGAGGATCCCTTCCCTGTGCAGGAGACGTTGCTCAGGTGCCAGCCCGTGGCACAGGAGGACGGCAAGGAGAGCCGCATCGCCGAGCAGGAGAGGCTGTGAAGGGGCCGGGCGCTGCCCCGGCCACCAGCGCGCACCGGGGCCAGCGCCATCTCCTCTGTTCCCGCTCCAGCCTGGGAGAAATGTGGCACCTGGGCTGGCCACAGGCGCTCTGACACCGCAGCAGAGCACGGCGCGGCCAGCGCCACCGAGGCCCCACAGCAGCGCCCCGCTGCCGGCACCGGGACGCGGAGCGGAGCCCGCTGCCGCGGCAGAGCACGGCTGCTGACGCCGAGACCCTGCGGCGGGGCCCGGTCAGGCCGAGAACCGGAGCGGCGGGTGCGGGACCGGGGCGCCCCGCGCTGCCGGCGGCTCCGCGCGGACAAGGGCAGCACGCGCTGCCGCGCCCGTCCCGCCGCGCTCGTCTCAGCGGGACCGGGGCCACGGCCGCGCGCGTGGCGGCCGGCAGGCGGCGCTGCTGCACCGGCGGCGGTGGGGCGGCACCGCGCGGGGACCCCGCAGCGTGCGCGAGCAGCAGCCCCGCGGCAGGGGCGGCCCCAGCGCGGCCGCGGTGCCGTGCGCGGTCCGGGCCCCTGCAGCTCCGCGCGCCTCGCCCCGCCCGTCCAGCGCCAGCTGCGCCGTGGGGGCCCGCGCCAGTGCAGGGCGCTGGGGGCTGCAGCAGAGCCGCCGCGCACCCTGACTCACGGGCGTGGCGCTGGACGGCGGCAGCACCGAGCCCAGGGCAGGACCCGGGCAGCAGGCGCCGTGGCAGCCCGTGACCCACCACCGCCGGAGGGCATGCGGCATGGCGTAGGAGGGGCCATAAATCCCAGGGCCAGAAGCAGCTGGAACAGAGTGACTTTTACTGTGTGGCAGTGGCACATTATTTAAGCCTCCTCTTAAAACCTAATGTTAGGTTTGATAAGGGAGGTAAAGGCACGGCAACAGCTCTCCTGCTCAGGGCTCTGTGCTCTTGGCAGTGCTGGTGGAATGGTCCCAGGCTGGGCAGCGTCCCCTGGCACAAGAACCCAGTGAACAAACACCCTGTCCTGGGGACAGGAGCCTGATTCCCGCTGGCATCATCACGTGGGCAAGAGACCCAGAGCCTCTGCCCCCAAACAGCACCTCCACAGACCAGCCCTTCTGGCTCCTGACCTCCCCCGGTGCCGACCCCTCCCTGCCCACATACAGCGTGTTCAACACCTGCTCCCATGTCAGACATGTGCCTTCTCATTAGCGGGTCTGTCCCCCAGAGTGAGAAGGGGAACGCATGAGATCTAATTGAATGTAACTAATTATTCACTCTGAAAATGCTCTGTTTAAATGGGATTGTGAGGGACAGAATTACTCATTCTGAAAAGGGGAGAGAAAGAAAGACAGAGATAAAACGGAGGCGGATGCTGGAGCTGCAGCTCACTCTCTCTCTGCAGAATACCAATTACTGGATGAAGTGATTGTATAAATCTTTACCAAGTGAACGAACTGTGCTAGTCACTTACTCTTGTCCTCTTATTATAAGGAAGCAATGAAAAATCATCCCACTCTCCAGTCCAGTTAAGAGCTCCCAGTTGCTGTCTCAGATGCTGCCTGCAGCTCATCCCGGTGCTTTCCCAGTGTGGGTGTCCTGCAGTGACAGGGCTGAGCCAGGATGCGTAGCACTCCTGCACCCCAGCGAGCAGCAGTGACTGCCTGTGACCTGTGGCTCCTGCCCCAGAGCTGGAGCCAGTGATGCCATGCAGCTCCACAGGGACATGGGCTGGTCGAGGGCCCCAGTGCCACACGAACAACAGCTCACCCAGGGACCCCGGTGCCCACGGAGCCACCCCAGGACTTGTGCCTGCAATTTCCCTGCCCTCCCCGTTGGTGGGTCCAGCCCTGCCAGGCCCCTGGCCCCTTCCTGTGGGCTCTCCAAGCACTCACCAAACTCACGGTGCTTCCCAGCCCCTTCCCACGCTGGAGTTAATGCTTTTCACTCCCCAGTGTCTCTGCCTGCAGGCTGCAGAAATGTGCTCCTGAGTGGTGATCTCCATTGCTCTTCCCTGCTGCATCGTTCAGTCCCAGCTCCCTCACAGGGCTGCCTCCAAACACACCCGGTTATGTCCTCGGCAGTGTTGTGTAATGGGAGATGAGGTCCTGGCTGCATGGAGTAGGGAGAGCTGGCAGGCTGACTCCACGCCTTTCCAAGGGGCAGGGAGTACCCACACCCTGAGGTGCTGCTGCTGAGGACCCAGCCAATCCCACATCCTCTGCAGGACACACCAGGACCCCCCTCAGTGCAAAGGCACCCAGGGTCCTGGGGGTTGGTTTATGGGATGAAAGCCACCTTGTCTCCATGTGTGTGTCACTGTGGGGAGAACAGACTGGGAGCAAGTCAGCGAGGTGGGGCAAATCCTCCAGCCTGCCCTGCCTCATACCTACAGGGATCTGATCAGTGCCAGCAGTGAGTTCCTCATGTACTGGAGATGTGCTCGTGTGCGTGTGAGAGAGAGATCTCATCATCATCATCATCACCACAAGTGCAGCTATGAAGTTCCATTCTATGCTTATTGGCTTTCTTCTTTTTATCTATAAATAATTGCAGGGACACAATAGACTTTTAAGACTGCCACAGAGTTTGTCTCCCTCCAGCAACCATATTGCCACAGAGCTGCCACCTTATCTGCTCCTAGAAGGATGAGGGTGGGAAAAATACTTACTGTCACCTCCAAATCACCTCAGTCTGCAATCTGCATCGGGGCCAGGGCTGACAGCACTGATCTGTATTGCCAGCACATGAGCCAGGGGTGATCCACACTGGCCCAGGCCCCCTGACCCTCCTCCATGTGAACTGGCAGCACAGTGCAGGCAAACCCAGCCTGCATGCGAAGCCATGCCACGCTGCAGCACTAAGGGATGGGGGAAGCAGCAGAGGATGCTGAACTGGATGCCCAGCGAGAAGCATGGTGATGGGGCAACAGGGAATTACACTCAGAGGTTTACAGAGTCGGCAACACCTCCCCAGGCACCCCTGCATTCCCGTGCTCTGCAGCAGCCTCAGGCTTTGCTGCTCTCCTGCAAAGCACAAACACACTGCACAGCCCTGCTGCTCTCTCAGTGTTTGACATCCCCACCAGCCTCATTTGCCACTGGGACTCCTTCTATCCTGCCACCCAGAGGGTTTTGCACAGCACTTACCATTGCAGTATCGAAGAACCAATCTAATTGATGTGACACCAATTATTCAAGTATCACTAAATGCAGAATTAATGCATCTCTGTTTACAAACCTCCTAGACTCTATGAAATTATTACTGGCATGAAAGGAGCCAGCTCCCACCACCACAGCACCAGCCAGCCCTGCCAGGACACCTTCATTGCCACGCAGTGGGGTGGCATTGCATGGGTGCCTGCAGCATCCACCTCACTGCACAGGGTCAGGGCATGTGGCTCCCCACAGACCAGGCTGCAGCCGCAGTGTGTCCTGCGCAGGCAAACCAACCCCAGCAGCATCAGCCACAGCAGCCGCAGCCGTTGTGACAGCCCCAGCAGCTGCACGCTCTGCAGGGCACTGCAAGAGCCATTTCTGGGCTGCTCAGCGCAGCCCAGACAAAGCTCTTGGCTTGGATGTGGACTGGAGATGGGAAAAGCTGTTCACTGCATTGAGATTTTACAGTGAAATTAAGCCGTGCCTGGACACACACAGAGCTTGGCACAGGCACCTGTTTGTGTTTTGTAAATGGCTTTCTACATTCAATTAAAGAGGAGGTGGCTGGGGGCTGGGGCATGCGGGGTGGCTGCTCTCTGGGCTGGCTCCAGGCCCCTGCCGTGCAGCCCAGAGGAGCCGTCCTGGACCGCAAGGGAGCAGTGTCAGCTCCGGGAGACCACCCCTGCCCCTTCCAGTCGCAGCCCAGCTCCGGGACCCCACTGTGGTCCCAGCACCGCTCCAGGGTAGCAAAGCAGAGAGGTCCCATTGAAACAGGGGAGGGAGCGAGGCACAGCCAGCATGGCATTGCTCTGGCACAGTCTGCCATCACATTTTGGCAGCAAGCATGGCAAGTGTGGCGCAAGTGCCAGGCTGCTTGGGTAGCCAAGGGCTCGTCCTGGTTCTGGTTTGCTCAATTTTTTCATTAGCGGATCTGGATGATGGAATAGAAAAAGCACTTATTAAACTTGCAGATGACACGAAGCTGGGAGGGACTACAAGTATCTTGGAGGACAGGATTAGAATTCAAAATTATTTTGACAAATTGGAGAAATGGACTAGAAAAAATAGGATGAAATTCAACAGGAACAAGTGCAAGGCAGTACGCTGAGCCGGGAACAATCAGCTGTGCAAACACAGCCCGGGTTGGCGAGGCCAGCGGCACAGAGCCAACCAGGCATGGGCTGCACAGGCACACAGGCAGGAGTGGGGCAGCAGGAGGCTGCCTGCTTGGCCCAATAGTCCTCTGGGAGAGGAGAGGAACCTCCTCTCGCCTGGAGCACAGACGGACCCCTCGGAGCTGGGCCAGGGCTCTCCCAGGCTCCTGCTCGCTTCCCCCACACCGGCCAGAAACCGCGGTGAGATCCAGCTGGACCCAGCCTCTGCACAGTGGGAAGGGGCTGAGCAGGGACCCCCGCAGCTCTGCCATACCTCCCATGCAGCCACTGCCCAGTGATACCCCAGGGTGATGCCCCTAAACTGGCCCCCAAAACCATCCAGCCCTTCCTGTTGCAGCCCCACAGGCACCAGTGCAGCACTGGGAGCTTTGCTCCGAGGGCATTTCCCATGTGGGGGCTCTTGCTGCAGTTTGCATCCCTGCAGCCCCCACTGTGCCTGGGGGTGGCCATGACTGCAGCCCCATGGAAACCCTGCTGCTGTCTTCCCTCCGCTCCAGCAATTAGAGCTCCAGCCAGCACCCCCCAGCCTGTGCAAACACTGAGACTCATTTAAATAAATTAAGAAGACATAATAAATCAAAGAGAAATGAGGGGCTGTGCCTAGGGGCAGGGGAGTCACTCGAGTTTAATTACATTGGCAAGCCGCTTGCAATGAAAGCTCAGCAATTCCCACATGCAGCGAGTGCAGATGTGCGAGAGCCCTGCAGCCCGTGCCAGGCACAGCACCAGCACAGCACCATCTCTGCCAAGTCAGGAAAGTGATGTGTGTGCTGCGCAGGTCCTGGGCACTGGCTGCTCCTGGGTCCCCCGCAATGGGTGCTCACGTGGGCAGGCTGCATCCCAGCCGCACGAGAGCCCAGCACAGAGCCACTGGCAGCACCTGCTTCCAGCGGTCAGCTCGCAGAGCCCTGCCCAAGCCCCACCAGCCACCCAGAGCCACCAAGTCTGGCCCATGCTGACACCATGGGGAGAGGCCATGGTGTCAGCAGCATCCCTCTACCCCCACCCTGGATTTACAGCCCAGCCCCTGTTGTTTAAAGACTCT